CGCCGGGAGCTTCAGCCTCATCCACCTAGGCAGAAGCCTAACAACCACGAGCGCCGTCCACGGAGCCCACACAGCCATGGCGGACCTCGCACAGAGCGGCGAATTGAGTGCGTGCTGACACATACACCTGCCCACGTCCCAGCTAACGCGGCGCAGACCAGCCCGTCCTCAACCTGACGCCCGAGGAGAAGCGCGTCTTCCAGTTCCTCTTCCAGCAAGCCGACACGGAGAAGCTGGGCGTCATAACAGGCGAGATTGCCGTCAAGTTCTTCGAGCGCACCAAGTTGGCACCCGCTGTCCTGGGCGAGATATGGCAGATTGCAGACACGGAGAACCGCGGTCTCCTGACCATGGCCGGCTTCTGCCAGGTCCTGCGCCTCATCGGACACTACCAGGCCGGCAGAGACCCCGCCCCAGAGCTGGCCTTTAGACGTATGACCTCAATGGCCCGTAGTATAGCCATGCGCTGACACTCCCGCAGCTGCGCCCCTGCCCAAGTTCGAGGGCTTGAACATCCCATCCGCTCCTCCCGCCGCCCCGAGCTTCTCTCCACAACCCACCGGTTCGATACAACCTCAGATGAGCGGCAACGGCCCCATCCGCGTGCCTCCGCTAGTACCCGCCAAGGCTGCTGAATACGCAGGCCTATTCGAGAAGTCTGGTGCCGTCAATGGCGTGCTCTCTGGTATGTGTCTCGATACTCGACTAGTGCGACTCTAACATTTCCAGGCGAGAATGCAAAGGAGATCTTTGAGAAAGCGCGGTTACCCAATGAAGTCCTCGGTCGCATCTGGAATCTTTCCGACACGGAGCAGCGCGGCGCTTTGAACGTCACCGAATTCATCATTGCCATGCACATGCTCGCCTCCTACCGAACTGGCAACATGAAGGCCCTCCCGACCGCTCTACCCCCAGGCCTGTACGAAGCTGCCTCGCGACGGGGACAACTCCCACCTCCACCAGGCCGACCAGACCAATCCATGTCCATCCCGCGCCAGTTCAGCGGTCAGCAAAACCAGCCGCGGCAATCGAGTCCCCTTGGACGAACTCCATTCGGAGCACCGGCTCCAGCACCCCAACCGACCGGCAGCGATTGGCTTATCAGCCCACAAGAGAAGGCGTCTTACGACAACCTCTTCAAGACGGTTGACACCATGGGTCGCGGTTTTATCACTGGCGACCAGGCAGTGCGCTTTTTCAGCGATTCCGGCCTGCCCGAAGATGTCCTCGCAGGAATATGGGACCTCGCAGACATCAATTCGGAAGGTCAGCTGTCCAAGGACGAGTTCGCAGTCGCAATGTACCTGATCCGTCAACAACGGAAGGGAGACCAGCTTCCAGCAACACTACCACCCAGCCTGATTCCCCCGAGCCTACGAACAGCTGCCAACCAAGCAGTGCCAGTAGCCGCCCCTCAGCCAGCGCCACCCGTTCCTCGCGCCGCCAAATCAGCTGCAGATGATCTCTTCGGACTCGACGCCTTCACAGCACCGGCTCCTGCTCCTCAGCAACCGCAATCGACAGGCGGCTCGGCTACCTTCAGCAAGCCATTCGAGGCGGATCCTTTCGGAAGCAAGCCAACTTCGCCCACGTCTCCTCACCCATTCCAGCCTCAACCGCGGAACCCTGCTTCCACCTTCAAGCCGTTCATGCCTAGTTCTTCATTCGGTCAGACTCTTACTGCGCATTCTACAGGCCAATCGGGTACCTCTGGCGTACCACAACACTCCACACCATCCGCAATGGACGATTTGCTGGGTGGAGAGGATGTTGCCGAGATCAACAAGAAGCTGACGCAAGACTCGACTGACCTGGCCAACATGTCTAACCAGATGACCACTCTCCGAAACCAGATGCAGGAAGTTCAGAACAAGAAGACTGCGACAGAGGGCGATCTCAACAGTGTCAACACCCAGAAGCGCGATCTCGAGCTGCGCCTCTCGCAGTTCAAGACCCAGTACGACCAGGAAGTCAAGGCTGTCAAGGCGCTAGAGGACCGACTGGCTGCCTCTCGCAACGAGACCCGCAAGCTGCAGCAGGACCTTGCTATGATCGAGGGCTCTTACCAGGATCTCCAGAATCAGCACCGCCAGGTGGGAGGCCAACTTGAGGCTGACCAACGTGAGAACAACAGCTTGAAAGAACGCATCCGCCAACTCAATACCGAGATCGGACAGCTGCGTCCTCAGCTTGACAAGATGAGGAACGATGCCCGACAGCAGAAGGGCATGGTTGCTATCAACAAGAAGCAGCTTGCTACCAATGAGGGAGAACGCGACAAGATCAGGAACGAAATGAACGACTTGACCAAGTCGCAGGAAGAGGGCACACGCAGTCCGCAGGCCCAGACTCCCGCCGTCGCCGTCAGCCCCGCAGCGTCCACTACAAGCCAGAGCACGAACCCATTCTTCCGCAAGTCGCCCCAACCCGTTGCGGAGAACACCATGTCGCCATCTGGATTCGCACGTGAAGGCCCGCACAAGGACTTTGACAGCGTTTTTGGTAGCTTCGGCACTCCTCAAAGCACAGCACCTCCCGTCTCTTTCCGTCCCGAAAACCAGAGCCAAGGTCCCAGCTTCTCTGTTCCATCCGGCCAATCAGTACGCTCTTCCGAAGGACCTGACGTCCCCACACCGTCTACCTCACCCCCTCTGTCTTCTTACCAGGAATCTCCCCGCGCTGCAGACCCGCCAGCCCCCCCTGAGTCGCGTCAATTTGGCTCTTCATTCCTACCTCTGAGGGAAGGCGGCCAGAGATCCGACTCGTTCAGCTCTTCCGTGCGAGCTACTGCTCCTGCCAGCAGATACGGTGGCCCTGGCAACGAGACACCTACAATTTCCCAGGCATCTCCTGCGAGCACACCAATAGCAGAGAAGCCCACGGTAGAGCGAACTGAAACCAACCGCACAGAAACCGACAACTTCAACCCTTCTCTGTTCAACCGTAACTTCTCATCAGCATCTCCTGTAGCCAGTATCACCAGTGATACTCAGCGCTCAACCAGAGCTGAGGACCGTAAGGATGCCTTCTCCAACTTCGGAGCACCTTCAGCTGGTGTTGACATTCCTGGTGCCTTCCCACGTGAGGCTGCTACCCCTCTTCAGCAGAACCAAACTGGAGAGAGCAGTCTGAGCGCCCCCAACAGGAACATCAACCGCGCCGACCCCTTCGGCAGCACTTCTGGTGAACAACCTCGTGGAGGCAAGGATGATTTCGATGCGGCATTCGCTGGCTTCGGCCCTAGTCGTCAGAACACTGCTACTGCATCCACCACAAGCGCACCCGCGGATAACTCCAACAGGTTCAACAAGGAGTTCCCTCCGATCGAGGACCTCGCTCACGATGATGACAGCGACAGTAACGATGAGCGCGGATTCGATGACAACTTCACATCCGCGTCGCCAAACCAGAAGCGTACTAGCACAGGACAAGAGCAGCGCTCTCAGCAACAGCAGCGACCAGGTACTGCGTCAAGTGACGAGTTGTACAGAGCTCCGCCGCCAACTACCCGCCTGGACTCCAACATCGGTGGCTTGCCCTCTCCTAGTGCGCAGAAGTCCCCACCCACCTACGAGTCCAGTGTGAACCAGACCAGAAGTGGATCGAACCAATTCCCACCTGAGTTCGGTGGTCTTCTTCCCGCTCGCGAAGACCCAACATCGCCAGGATCTCCTGACACCGCGCAAGGTCCCGAGAAGTCGTACAATCCTCCTGGCGGTCACGGAGCTGCTCTCTTTGGCGGCCCTTCCAAGTCTGCGACCACATCGCCCCCTCCTCTAGATACTCCATCATCGACCGTTCCATCCGACCAATACCACTCTGCAGTATCGTACGGTGCCAATGAGAACAACAAGGGCCCATCGCCTTCCAACAACGTCCCCCAACTCGGCAAGTCTGCCTTCAACGATGACTTCGACGCCGGATTTGATGATCTAGCGGATGCCAAGGAGGATGACCGCGCTGATGACGACTTCATGTTCTCTTCGCAGAACCGTGAAGGTCTTGACGAGTTCAACCCAGTGTTTGACTCGCCAGCTGCCTCCAAGTCAAACACTATGGCTTCTCAGCAGACTCCCACCGGCAAGCCGCGTGGTGATGACAGCTTCAGTGACTTTGAACACCTGTCGCAGACCTTTGGAGGACAGCCCCAGCAGCCTCAACCCGCTGCCTCGTCCCAGGACTGGGATGCCATCTTCTCCAACCTCGAGTCGTCGCAGACCGACAAGGGCTCACACTCGCAGCAAGCGTCCACTGACTTTGGCAAGTCTGTCTTTGACACTCTCGACAATGAGGAGGCTGCTGCTTCTTCATCCAAGTCTCAGGGATTGTCGCCTCAGATGCCCTCGCTTGGTCGTGCCATCAGCACTGGAACCGAGCATGACGACCCTATCCTCAAGAAGCTGACCGGTATGGGCTATGGACGTAACGACGCCTTGTCTGCGCTCGAGAAGTACGACTACGACATCAACAAGGTAAGCAATGCAACCACACTCTATGTAGAAGAAGACTCCAACTAACAATTTCCAATAGGCCGCCGATCACCTGGCTTCCGGTGGAAACTAACCCCCCCCCGATCATTCCCACTCCAAACCACCACACACACTCGCACACCCCGAATCGCTCTTTTGTATGAGTACACATGTTTAGCATGGCTTTGTCACAACAAACTTTTCATACCCTTGAGCGTTGGACCTGTCCCTCTCCCTTTTTTCCCACTGTCGCTGCGACGCACGCCCTTTCCTTTGTTCACGCTTACTCTTCTTGTACTGAAGCTTTCACTTGAGACGGAGGCTTTTGGGCCAGTCTTGGTGCTGGCTGTGTAGTAGGGAGGATTGGGTCTGAGCGACTGCTGCGTTTTGTGCACATGGTTAGTTACTTAATCTAATTCGTTCTTTGGTTGATTGATGGAATGCTGTGCGCTTGTGGTGTGGTGAATGTGTGTTTCTGTGTTGATTAGAGCTTTGTAGCCCGCTCAAATAATATCCTGCTGTGTAGTATAGCTACACGAAGTCTTCATACTGCAGATCCCGCGATGAGTATCGTGATTTCTGTTTCTGGAGTCCGAAAGGCCCTTCACGGTCGCCGCTGTGCCAAAAGTGATCAAGAGCGCCTGATTCCTGCCATCGGGTTTTCAGCGCTTCGCGCACCTTGAGCTTGGTTTCCGTGTCTAGAGTCTGGTCCCGATTGAACAAGAAATCCGCGTCGTCGCTCTCGTTTTCTGGTCCTTCTTCTTCATCTGTTGCCTCCTCGTCTTCGTCGCTTTCTTCATCTGTTGCCTCCTCGTCTTCCTCGCTGTCTTCGTTCGTGTTGTGCTTATCCTTGTCGCTTGCAAGATTAGGCGGACGGAGAACGTAATGCCGGGCTGGGTCCCCATCTGCATCCTCTTCTTTCTCCTATCACTCATTAGCCTCACCCATGCAGACACTCGCGTGATGATTAGCAAACCGCATACCTTTCGCCACTCCTCTTCCGTCATGCTGAAGAATTGACAAGGCGGCCTCCAGTTGCCTTTCACTCTTTCAGCAGATGTCAAATACCTTACTCCTACATCCTCAATTGTCTTTTGGCGTGGTGTACACCAGTCCTCTAAATTTGCCTGGAACACCCTGACCGACTTCCTCCTGTGTAAGAGATCATACACGGGCCGTCTGATCGACTCGAGGATATTGAGCATAACCCGCTCATCTTCCATGTCGTAGGGATGACGATATCGATACCCACCAAGTTTGATTTCTCCAATTTGGAAAGCTGTCTCGAGGCGAATGCAAATTTCGTGTTTACGTTTCGGAGGTAGTAGCTGGAGGTCCTGGAGGTTATTGTGAAGAGCCGCCACTTCGTCCTCGCTTTGCATTCCAGTTCCGGAGAAGTTGAGCACCAGCGTGAACTTGCGGATAAACTGATACGGCTTCATTCCGAGCTTGAAGGGATCGGCGCGGAACAGGTTGCTCATCTCCTGGGCAGACGTGATGTAGAAACTGTTGATACTGTAGTAAGTTTCTGTAAGCTCTTGGGCTGCGTGCGCTCCAAAGTATGCTGGATCCATAGCCCAGCATTTGGGTTGCATGTGTAGACTTTCACCGCAGATGTCGAGTGCTTCAATACCCTCGCCCCATTGCGAGTCTAACCAGCCAATGCGTATGCTCTTGCCGCACTCGACACGCCACCACATTCCGCTATATTCCGGTGTAGTTTGAGGCTGAGCTGTCGGGCCGACGATGTAGGCGTATATCATGTTTCGAAGCTCTCTTGGTAGGACGGCGTGGAACTCGCTAGCTAGTTCGCGACATGATTTTCGCGCAGCAGTTGCGGCTTCTACTGCTCTTTGGCGTTCTGAAGGGGAGGCATTGTATCTATATGTGGCTGTCGATTAGCAGAGATATTGATTCCAGTGAATGTGAGGGACTGTACATTGGTATCGAGTCGATCTGTTCGTTGAACTTGCATCTCACAAAACCCTTGGCTCTTTCAGCTTCGGCGTCCATACGGATGAAGTCAGGGTCGAGTTGCAACATAGTTGAGAAACGTGAGACGGACGTGTTGAAAGAAACCAGAGGATTACAGAAAAGAGAGGGTATGTATGTCCGCGGCACAATGCCCCGCCCTCGCAGCACCCTTACATGGAAGGTCCAATCAGCTACTGTACCTCGAAGAACGTGCATAAACGCTCGCGCCTGCATTGCATTGCATTCTATTGCTCTACCACATAGATGCAATCGTGGAGTCTTTCATGATAAGAAGTTCGATTAAAATGATACCAAATCCCCATCAAACCATCATACAGCAAAACATGCACATCATGCGCTCATACATGCAACATCTTCCCACTCAACACATATACACCCTAAATCTTCTTGTCATTAAACCTTCGAAACACCAACAGCAACAGATTCGGTTCTCACAGCAGCATCAACTTTCTCTTCATAGCGATCAAAAGCAGCAGTCCCTTGGATATGGCTGTCCTCAAACACATCGACAGTCGTGCTTGCAAACTTGCGCGCGCTGACGCGCTTCTCGAAGAGGAGATCAAGTTCAGCGAAAGAGCGGCCCTTGGGTTCGGGTAGGCGGAAGTAGGTGTAGATGATACTTAGGAAGCAGGAGCCGGCCCAGAAGAATCCGGCGTAGTTGCCCCTGGGGTGTGGTTAGCAGAGGGAAGAAGGAAAGGAAGGGAGTGAGGGAGTGACGTACCAGTTCCAGGCTCCGGGGTTGAGCATGTAGGGTGTGAGGACGGAGGTGATGATGCCGATTACGTTGTAGAGGTTGCGGCCGAGGACCACGGTCTTGATAGCGAGGCGGCGGGTTGAAAGCTCAGCAACGAGAGAGTAGCATACGGTGCCGACGGTCAACTGGTAGAACATAGCCCATACGATCATCATAGCTCCGGTAGCCATGGCGCCCTTCTCCCGCTGGGAGGCTGGTACCAGGCCAAGGAAACCCATGACGAAGAGCATAACGCATAGTCCACAAAGACCACCTAGGTAGAGTGTTCGGCGTCCGAAACCGACCTTCATGAGGTACCAAGCGCCAAAGACACCGGCCATGTTAATACCGTACTGACCCATTGCGAAGTCATACGAAGTCGATGCGGGTAGACCGGCCTGTTGGAGGAAGTAGGAAGAGTAACCCGAGAAAGCGTTTCCACTCAAGTTCTGCATCGCCCAGGCCATGCAGACAATCTCCGTACGACGCAAATCGGTACCCTTGAAGCAGTCCCAGTAGCTGGCTCCCTGGGTGATCTTCTCTTCGAGGGCGGTGGTGTGCACCATCATGGCCACCGTTTCGTCGGCATCGAAATCAGTTTCTCGGTCCAAGCTGGTGAGTCGAAGCAGGGATTTCTTCGCGTCTTCGATTCTTCCTTTACGGACTAGCCACCATGGCGACTCGGGCGCTAGGAAGACACCGATGATGAGGGGGACGGGCCACATCCATTGGAGGGCGTAGGGGATGCGGTATGACCATTCGTCATCACGGTCGACCATGGAGCGGATGACGCCGATACCGATGACTTGACCAAGACCCCAGCAGAAGTTGACGTAGGTGGTCACTAATTGATGTAAGCTTGTGTATGTGAAAGTAGAGCTTGGTAGACTTACAGTATCCACGCAGAGCAACAGGGCAGACCTCGCAAGCGTATGTGATGGTAAGTGTTTGGAAGACACCCCAGGGGATACCACAGAGAATCTCCGCAATCAGCAAGTGTACCACCGTCTGAGCCGTGAAGAAGATGGTGGTGAACCCAATGATCAGAAGCAAGCATCCCATGACAGTATAGCGGTATCCGATAGCCTCACTGATCCATCCATTGAGGAAAAGACCGATGATCTCGCCAACAATGACTCCGTTCGACAGACCCGCCTGCCATGGCGCTGGAATCTCCCAAGACCCGTCCGGAAGCTGCTCGCCGTACTTTTGCTTGAACTGCGGGAATCCGAAGAAGTTGTTCAGCAGGCAGACATCGTAGCCTTCCATGACGATACACGTGCTGATAAGGACAGACCATCCAATCGCCTTGGGATAGAGTTTGATACCCTGCATCAGCGTCATCTTGCGTTCGTTGTCCGTGGCAAGCCGCGCATCGTCGACAAGCTTATTAGCAGCGCGCTTGTGATCGGACTCCTCATGTTCTCCATAATGCTCGAACGGGGGCGCGGTAGTGGGCTGAATCTCCTTCTCTTCCGCCATGATTGCTCTCTTCCGTCAACTCTACTTCTTGCAAACAGAGAAAGTCGGGCCGATGGCGATCCGGCCAGGGCTGGGCTGCTTTGGGAACGATAGTGGGGTGCTGCAACGCTGCTCCACACACTCTCGAACCAGGACAAAAGTAAAGAGAAATCCGGGGAAACTGCTACCGTGACATTGGGTGGTAGGACATGAGGCGGTCTTTAAGCATAAAATTTTGCGGGGTCTAGCATGGCTTTCGGGTAAGCGTGGCTGTAGCGGCGAACCATGCAAGCCAGGGTCTGGGTCGCGTGCAGACAGGTGGAGCTTTCATCTCCTGCGGCCGTGCGCGGACGTGATTGGGTCGTCCCATATGCGACCTTCTTGCTATGGGTTAGGAAGACAGAGACGGATGCTGGTGGCTCGGGTAATTCTTCGTTCACATGGTCTCGTGGCACGCCTGGTGCATGCCCAGCTGGCCTGTCCTTGGCCAGAGCGTGGGTGTTCACGATCGGAGCGGCGGCCGACAAGCTGACCGTTGAGCTGGAGTACTCGCGCATACTATGTGCATGGCTAGGTCAGCCACACCGAAAATCGGCAATAGCGACCGCGCCGTAGTGAATTGCTGATAGCTGTGATGTCGGAAGTTGTTGCCAGTGTACGCAAGAAATCGTACAAGTAAGCCCAAGAAGGAGTTTACCGAGGTAGCGCCTTCGGCTTTCACCCGTACCTGGCGGTGTAGCGTCAAACGGCATGTTGAACATTCTAGAAGCTGTGAAATCTATTGTATCTGCATCAAGAGGGTATTGGTCTAGTTGTGTTTCTTGTTTATGTCTTCAAGTCCGCGCAAGCTACATCAAGTAGTCCTATGTCCATTCGCGGGCTCGTCAATAGTGTCATCCTCCTCTATGCCAGTTATTGCTTCCGGTCCTTCACTCCGCGGCTGCACCCTCCCGCCAAAGAATGCGAGAAGCAACAAGTCATATGTCGCTTTCAAGCTACCAGCTGCAACAAAAGCAACCCAGAAATGATCGTTTCCAGCAAGTACACCAGTAAGACTTGGTCCACTGCTTTGGGATAGTGTCTTGAGTATGTTAACTACGCCCATAACAGCTGTTCGCTCTTCTGGTAAGACCACAATCGAGAGGAAAGCTGATCGAGGTGCCTGATCCATAGAGTTGAGCACAGAGCGGCCAACGAGCAGGCAGATGGTTAAAGCTAGTCCCGACGGCACAGGCAGTAGCGCGAGGAATATAGAAGAAGGCAGATGAGTGAATACCATTGCTTGAATTAAGCCGAGACGTTTGGCCAGGCTCGAGGCAAAGACGTTTCCAAGTGTCGACACAAACCTGTATGTTCGTAAGCGTGTGGTTCAAGGCATGCTTTGATAAGATTGTGACTTACCATGTTGCAGACATGATGCCACCGAGCTTCCCTTTTGGTAGATCAAATTTACGTTCCATGTAGTAGTTGATCAAACTAAAGGGGACCATTCCCGAGCCCAATGAATCCAGGAAGAACAAGCTGCAGAGTTTGATGAGAACAATGCGACTCGACTTGGAGATCTTGCTTAAGGAATGCCAAAACTTCTTAGGCTTCTTGGGGGCTGCGTCTCGAGTTGCAGTATCTCGATTCTCTGTTTCGTCATTGTTCAGCAACGGCTCGGTCTCAACTGATGCAGCAGGCTTGTTCCGTTCATCGTTCCAGTCGCTGTGCTCGCATCTCTGGCTCAGGAACAGAGTCATCAGCGCCTTGACACACCCGACCCCAGTGTAAATCCAGAAGATGGCGCGATACGCATCCAGATCCGTCCAACCCTCGATAGCCTGCAGGTTGTCGACCGCAACACCACCAACTGCCAACCCCGTTGACGTGCCCAGTACAGCCAAGACGACATACCAAGTATACACGTCCGACCTCTTGTCCTCGGCTACCAGGTGCGCTAACGTCGACTCCTCCACAGCTCTGAACGGCCCGATCTCGTTCCCACTAGGACTGATGACACCGACGATGGCTGCTAGAAGCAAAGCCACATAGTTGCTTGTTGTTGCGAAAACAGCGCCGGATATTGCCATGGACACAGCCCCAAGGAGTAATGTTCGGCGCCGTCCTAGCGTATCCGCGACAAGTGTGAGGAGGAGGCTGATGACTACATCGCCGAGCAACGTCAACGACATGAAGAGTCCGATCTGTTCATCTGAGAATCCTTGCTCTTGGAAGAAGAGTGCGAGGATAAGTGCCACGCTCCCGTATGCAAACAGACGGATGTACCGTGCCAGAATGAGGATGTAGACGTCTTTTCCAGCATGCTTCATTGTCGCGAGTCCCAGTTCGCGGCCGAGCCATTGTGCCGCTTTGACAGGCGCATCACGAACAGACATGCTCCGAGGTTCAGGATAGGGTGGGTATTATGAGCGTGGCGGAGTTGGTACACCTGGACTCTAAGACATTAGGAAGGCCAGAAGTTTTGTAGAAGGAAAAAAGAAGAGAAGAGGCTCTGGTTATGATTGCTTTTCCGAAGCCATGACGGACCGGAGTGTTTAGTGCTGCCTGGAGGCCTGGGGCCTAGTCGAGTTTCGCGTCATACGTCAGCGCCTGCATTTTACCGGATGCGGGAAGGAGCGAAGGGTACTCGGCATCCATACATGTCAAAGGGCGCATCAAGGGCGCAAATCAGTTGTCACAATATCACGCAGAGATCTTGATAAGTAGGACGTTAGCATCGAAGCTGTTGTTGAACCTTATCCATCAGTCGTGTGGTGGCTGAGCTGGCGTCTTCACATCACTAAAGCGCAAGTTTGTGTTTGTGGAACAGGCATCAAAGATCTAGGAGATGAAGTCTGATTGCCCATATTAA